AGAGAAAAGCTGGTGTTCCCCAGGGACCAAGAAATGCCCACTGTGGCTTGACCCGCTGCACCACAGCAGCTGGCCCCTAAATAGGTTCTTTAAAAAACGAAGTCAACAGGCAGGCAGTCTGGACATTTCTTGCTCCATTTCTAATTGGTTTCTGAGGCTCCTACTTCCTTTTTCTCGACGTTTTCAACATCTCTGCGTTTCTGCAATCTGAGGCCCTTGCTGGAGAGCTGCAGCGCCCTCCACACTCTTCCCCTGCTCCTACTCTGCTGTGTACCCACCCCTTCCCCAGCAGTTGTCATTAGATTCTGGGGTAACCGACAGGCTCAAAATCAAAGGGTAGGAAGTGTGGAGGTTAGGGACCCAGGGTCAGCAAGGAAGTCCTCAAAATCACAGAGAGCAGCCTCCTTCGTGCTCATGGTCCACTGTGTGGCTTCTGTTCCAAGCGGACTTCACAGTTCAGAATGACTGCTAGAGCTCCAGCCGTTACATCAGCATTACAGGCAGCAGGAATGAGAAAACAGGTTGACGAAGATCATGGCATCTCCTTTAAAAGATACTTCCTAGAATTGTACACAAAAATTTACTTTGCACTATTTATCACCTGGCCACATTTCCACACCCTGTGGTAAAGGAAAATTTGATCTCATGCCAGTGAACGTCAAGGTTATTGTTTCTTTATTTTTATGTATTTTTCATTGTATTTAAAAGGCAAAGAGACAGAGACCTTCCATCTGTTGGTTCACTCCCCCAAATGCCCACAGCAGCCAGAGCTGGGCCAGGCTGAAGTCAGGAGCCTGGAACTCGATCAAGGTGTCCCGTATGGGTGACAGGGTCCCAGGAACTTGAGCTATCATCTGCCGCCCTGCAAAATGTGCACCAGCAGGGAGCAGGACTGAAGGCAGAGGAGCCAGGACTCGAGCCAGGTGCTGTGACACGGAATGTGGGTGTCCCAGGTGGCGACTCTACTGCCACAGCACACACCCACCCCAGGGCTGCTATTTCCAAGGAGGAGGAACGGAGCAGAGACTCGGCCCCACTAGGAGTGTCCGCGGCTCCTCTCCCGGATGAAGGCCCCCAGTCTCACTGCGCGGTGGCCAGCTGTCGGAGTTTCAAGCAGGAGAGCGTCATAGTGGAATTTGTGGCTTGGAAAGTTCACCTTGGCTGCTCTGTGGACTAGCATCCAGCAGTGGGCGCAAGCACAGGGCAGGGAGAGCCGTGGTGACACTCCCCCCAGAGGCGAGATGGCAGCTGGGGCAGGCGGGGGTGGGGGGGGGGGCATGGCCAGGCTCACACCGTACTGCCAGTAGAGAGCTAGTAGGACTTGCTGACGGACCGGATACGAGTGTGGCAACGTGACGGGGTGGGCAGGGAAGCCCAGGGATGGTGGACAGGGAGGCCGTGCTGTTCACTGAAGGGCCCCCTGGGAGGGAGCAGAGCCACAGAAAGGGGAGCACTTGCATTGGGTAGGCAGTCGGTAGGTAGACCTGGTGAGCTGGGGCAAGGCGGCACTGGAGGTCTACAGTGTGTGGGTCCAGGAGCACCTGGATGTGTTGGAAGCCCTGGAACTGGATGAGACCACCAATGGACAGGGCAGATGAGAGAAGGGGGGGGGAGGCAGAGGGGAGGGGAGGGGAGGGGAGAGGAGAGGAGAGGAGAGGAGAGGAGAGGAGAGGAGAGGAGGGGAGGGGAGAGGAAAGGAGGGGAGAGGAGAGGAGAGGAGAGGAGGACAAACCCTTGATGCATTCCAGGCTGTTCCAACTCTGGGGCTGAGAGCGTGGATCCCTGGAGCCCTCAGTCCCCCGATCTGTAAAATGGGAACACAAGAAGCGTGAGGGATCTTACGCGATGCTGTGGAAGAGGGAGCTGGTGGGTGTTTCCGCACCAAGAGGAAAGCACTTCCCAACAAGCGATCATCTTCAGCCAACCGGAATGTTTTATAACCATCTGTTACTTTTAAAGTGGAGGTTTCCCTATCAGTTTATGCGTTTAGACACAGCCCATGAAACACTGTATCCAAGTAAAAATTGTTATTAAACGTGTTCATAAAATCCCCTTCATAGTTCTGTTGTTTTATGTAACAAATAACACCCCCAAACACCCTAGGGAAAAGCAACTGGAGGATAAACATCTCAGAGCAGAGGAAAAATGTCTGTTCTGTTCACCACCAAGCTCTGTATGTTTTCCCTGCCTATCATGACACAGACAGCAAAGATGGAAAGGGAGGAGGCCGGCGCCGCGGCTCACTAGGCTAATCCTCCGCCTGCGGCGCCGGCACACCGGGTTCTAGTCCCGGTCGGGGCGCCAGATTCTGTCCCGGTTGCTCCTCTTCCAGTCCAGCTCTCTGCTATGGCCCGGGAGTGCAGTGGAGGATGGCCCAAGTCCTTGGGCCCTGCACCTGCATGGGAGACCAGCAGAAGCACCTGGCTCCTGGCTTCGGATCGGTGCAGCACCAGCTGTGGCGGCCATTTGGGGAGTGAACCAACGGAAGGAAGACCTTTCTCTCTGTCTCTCTTTCTCACTGTCTAACTCTGCCTGTCAAAAAAAAAAAAAAAAGATGGAAAGGGGGGAACATTTCTTGGGCACCTGCCAAGTATACAGCTTCTCCTCTGAGTTTTCCAGCCCTTGCAAGAGGTGGGCATTAGCAGGTGCATGTCACGGTGTCAGCAACCAAAGCTCTGAGGGCTTGAATGACTTGGCCATAGAAGGAGTGGTGGAGCTGGTTTGCAGACCGGATCCACTTGGCCTTGAAGCCCCGCCCTCACTCAAGCATTCGTAATTGGCCTCTCTGCTGCTTCTCTGCTGGCTTCGCTCCCTGCTGCTGCCTGCAGCGAGGGCTTAACCATTGTACATTGCCCGGGCATCCACTTTGACTGTGAACTGGAATTTCCCACCCCAGAAGCAGGGCTCAGGCGCCCCGACACAGTTTCAGGTTCTGCAACTCCCCTCTTCCCCAGTTCCTCTATGGGGTCAGTGTGGCCGCCTGCCTCGCAGTGTTGCTCCCTGGCGACCACTTCCCCACCAGGCAGCTGAGCTGGCTTCGCTGACCCCACATTTCACGGGGATCCTGCAAATGTGCCCCAGTGACCCTCTCAGCCATGCAGGTCTGTGGGGATGAAGCCGCTGACCCACGAGTCCCTCCCCGCTCTGCCTGTGCTACCTGGCCTCTGTGTAACTCTAAGTACCCCAAACTCCAAAACGGCCCTGGGGTCTCTAGGCCCTCAAGCCTCCCCACTGCCCTGTGTGAACTCTGTGAGGGCAAGGAATGAGTCTGTCCTTGGTGCCTTCAACAGCAGCCATTGGAAGGCATGCAGCAGGTGCACAGGGCGTGCTGGTGGAAGGTGTGAGTGAGTGAGTGAGTGAGTGGGTGGAAGGCACGGTGCCTCTCGGCCTGAGATGCTCAGAGAGCAGATGGAACCCAGTTGCCGGGACCCCCAGGGCCAGCAGGCAGAGGAGGAACGTGGTAGGGGAGCGGGGAACCGGAGCTGGGGTCACAGCTGCGTCTCTTTTTCTGGACAACCGTTTTGTGGGTCCATTACGCTCTGCAGCCCTACATTCATTCACATGCTGCAGTCCAAACCCTGGAAACTCAAGAGTGTGGCCTTATGTGGGGACAGGGCCGTGGTAAAGCACGAGGTCTGTGTCCAGTGAGGCTGGCGTCCTTGTTAAGAAAGGGACAGGTGCAGAGGGAGGCTGCTGGGCAGAGCCAGGGAGAACACAGCATCCTCCGCCAGGGAGCCGGCGGGCACAGATCCTTCCTCATGGGCTCGGAAGGAGCCGCTGCTGTTGAGAGCTGCATTTGGGGTGCGGGCCCCCGGAACTGTCGGAGAACACATTCCGCCTGCTCCAGACCCCGGGCTGGGGGCTCTGCGACAGCAACACAGGCACACGGATGCACACAGAGCCGCCACCACCACAGAGTTCATTTTTTCAAAAGCTCCTTGTGAAACAACCAAGCCATAACAGGGGCCTGCATTGTGGCACAGTGTATTAAGCTGCCAACCACGGCACCAGGGGTCTATGAGCACTGGTTTGAGTCCCGGCTGCTCCACTTCGGATCCAGCTCCCTGCTAAAGAGCCTCGGAAAGCAAAGGAAGATAGCTCAAGTCCTTGGGCCCCTGCACCCACGTGGGAGACACAGAAGAAGCTCCTGGCTCCTGGCTTTGGCCTGGTTCAACCCTGGGTGTTGTGGCCATTTGAGAGTGAACCAGCAGAGGGAAGATTTCCCTATCGCACTCGCTCGCACGCTCTCTCTCTCTCTGTCTCTCTCTCTTTCTCTGTCTCTCTGTCTCTCTCTCTTTCTTTGTCTCTCTCTCTCTCTCTCTGTTACTCTGCCTTCCAAATAAATAAATCTTAAAAAGAAGAGAGGGCTGGTGCTGTGGCGCAGCAGGTTAACGCCCTGGCCTGAAGTGCCAGCATCCCATATGGGCGACGGTTCTAGTCCCGGCTGGTGCACTTCCAATCCAGCTCTCTGCTGTGGCCTGGGGAAGCAGCAGAAAATGGCCTAAGTGCTTGGGCCCCTGCCATCCACATGGGAGACCCAAGAGGAGCTCCAGGCTCCTAGCTTCAGCCTGGCCCAGCCCTGGCTGTTGCGGTCATTTGGGGAATGAGCCAGCAGATGGAAGATCTCTCTGTGCCTTTCAAATAAATAAAAAAAATACATCTTAAAATAAAATTATAACTCCCACCCTCCATCGGCTTTTATGGCCTCTGGGCAAGGGGGAGGGGAAGACAGAAAAGATGGACTTGTGCACAGCACCAGCACAAGGGTGCCATACCGCAGGTTTCAAAAGGTCATTATTACACCTCCCCCAAGCTCATTTAACAGCTACAGGCAAGTGACCTTGTAACAGAAATGATTCTGCGATTTGCACAGAGACAAGCCTTGTGACATTAACAAAAGACCGCAGCAGGCAGTGAGCTGGAACAGCCCCCAGGTGTTCCGGAACATTCCTACGGTTGCCCTGGAATCACAGAGTCCAGCCAGTTCTAAAGAAGGGACAGCGGTGGTGAGCCACACCGCAGCCGCTTGGGCATGAGCCACTTACAGTGAGCACGCTCGCCTGGTGCTCCTTCCAAGACTGAATCAAGAGTGTTTTAAGTTCAAGTGCGCTGGGCTCGCATCAGATGTGATTGAAGGGGAGCTACTCCTGGCGTCTCTAAGCAGTGGGTGAAGAGCCAGCTCCAGGTGCCAGAGGGCCCATCGACAGAGGGGCGCTCACCACGGGGCGCCCCCTTCTTCAAGGTGCATTGAGAGAGAAAGGGGAAGAATCAGAACGAGCTAGGGCATTGGATGCCTAACAAAGCACTTTTCAGGGAGGGCATTCAACCCACGGTTATGGCGCTGGTGAGGATGCTGGCATCCCACATCGGAGTGCTGCTTCAATGCCTGCCTCCTGCTCTTGGCTCCAGCTTCCTGCTAATGCAGACCCTGGCAGGCACTGGTGATGGCTCAAGTCATTGGGTTCCTGCCACTGACCTGGGAGACTTGGACTGAAGTCCCAGCTCCCAGCTCCAGTTTGGCTCAGTCCTTGGCATCGTAGGCATCTGGAGAGCAAACCAGTGGATGGAGGCATTCTCTCTCTCTCTCTCTCCCTCCCTCCCTCCCTCCCTCTTCCGTGTCGAGGTGAATCCCCTTGGGCTCTGGTTTCAGCCGGGCTGCAGTGCACCCCAAGGTGCAGGATCTCTGGTCAGCTCGTAGGCGACGCTGCTGGTTTACAGACCTCACTCCCAGCAGCAAAGCTTCCAGGACAAGCAGACCATTGTAGCAGAACCCCCTCTCCCCACTGCCATCAGCACCCTGTCTCCATCCCCACCCACAGTCAGAAGTGCTGGCTAGGAGACCGAGGGGAGTCATGAGCTTTGGGGGCCATGAGTGAGTGGAGCAGGAGCCTCCCTCCCCAAGGCCCAGCCCACGGGGGGGGGGGGCGGGGCGGAGCAAGGGACATGTCAGGGGCTGGCGATGGCCTGTTTGGCTCAAAGTTGTCAAGCTCCAGCCCAGAAGTTTCTGGATGTGGAGAACGGAGCAGGAGGTGGCGGAAGTGGACTGTGGCATGCAGGGGGCGGGGTGGGGTGGCCAGCAGGTCCCCCATGTACTCAACAAGGGCACGCTGCTTTCCCACGGCAGGTGAGGCTGAAAACCTGTGCTGGGGCAGAAGCTTATTTCAGTCTCTTCATCGTACAGAGGGTAGGGAGCAGCGTGGAGGAGAGGGAAGGAGAGAATAAGGGGAGAGAAAAAGGGGGGAGGGGTGGGGGAGGGGGAGAGGGAGAGGGAGAGGGAGACCAGAACTAGAATCAGAGACCAGAGCTGTTTTCTCCAGATACTTCTCTGATTTCTGTACTGAAAGATGTTGTAATTAAATAAACACATTCTTCGGGATCATTTCCACAGTAGACTGTCAACACCCAGCCCCTGTTAGCCAGACAGGCAGGGCGTGTGTAACCCTGGCAACGCCTCCAGAGAGCAATTTATCCAATTCCTTCCATTTCCCCCAGGACAGGGCTTGAAAGCAAACTTCAGAGGGATCAGACTCCTCCCCGCCCCCACCCAGCAAAGGCCTCGTCCCAGGGAAGCCACTGGCGGGGTCTCAGCCTGTCTGCGCCCGGTGTGAGCATGAGCCTTTCCTAATTCTGCAAATGCCGTGACCACAGGTTCCGCAGCCCCTCCAGCCTCGGCGGCCACACCTCCCCACAGGGCGCGGAGGGTCCCTCACTGACCTGTCTCTCCATCATGTAAGCTTCATTTTGAAGCCTCGGCCTCCTGCTTGAGTTCCAGACTTGCCCCACTGTCCCGGGGGGGAAGGGCTGAAGGTGACCCCAGCAGTCACTCTCGCCGCTGGGCCATGGGGAGAGCTGCAGACCAGGGCTGGGGTTGCTGTCTGCTTTCCCTTTCTCCCTGTTTTTGGGCTCTCTGTGGGCGGCAGTACCCAGAAGGCTCACTCTTGGGAAGCGTGTTTGTGGAGGTTTTAAAATCTGCCCCCAGGGTCTTTCGCTTCCCTGCCCCTGAACGTGAGCCAGACCTAGCGACTCACTTCTCATAGAATGTGGCAGGTGCAGCGGTCATCTGGGGGTTCCCGGCTAGGTTAGAGAATCTGAGCCGAAGCCCTCCTGAGACACTGGCCCTCGGGACTAGCCGCCGTGCTGCCAAGGCGCCAGGCACGCCAGGGCTGTGTGAGCTGACGGCCAGCACCTGCTACCGGCGCTCAGCCTGGGAGTCGTGCCTGAGTTATTTTCATGGCTGCTAAGTTTGGGGTGCCTTGTCATCCTGCCCCGGACAACTGCAGCAGCTAATCATCGACTTTGGAAAACCCGGTAGGGCTAACCCTGCTGCAGAGCCCCTTGACATGGGCCATGCGGTTCAACCACAACTTCCTCTTCTCTCGCCCCTGCACTCCGCTTTGGGTCATCCGCGAGGCAGTCCTGTTGGGAGGAGCCCAGCCACCCTCACCCTCGTGGGCATGTATCAGCCTCGGGATTCCGGCATGCCCTTCCTAGGCACAGGGTAAGGGGTGGGGGCTCCAGGATACCCCACCTTCTCCTGCCCCTTTGCCCACAGCCAGAAGCTCCTGGTTGGAGCTTGGCAGTCACTAGCCCCTGAGCTAGCTGTTCCATATTCCCAATCTTAAAACAGGTGGGCTGGGCTACGGAGGCAGGCAGGTTGCTGGCCCACCCACACAGTGGTCTTGCCTTCTCTCTCCCAGGCTTCTCTTCTGCCCACAAAAGGAGTGGGGAGTGGGAAGGGGTGACTGTGGGGCTTTGGCCGAATTGTCACCACCATACGCCATAGGGAAGTGCTCGGTCCCAGAAGCTGCTGTTCTCAGAATTCTGGATCCAGGGCTGCCATGTGTCCTGGGCATTGCACAACTCCAGGGCGGGATCTGCAAACTTGTACTTGATGGATGCTAAGAGTTTGAGACAGATGGTAAACATTTCAGGCTTGGCAGGCCACCCACGCTGTCTGTCTCTCAACTACGCAAGAGTGCTGTTGTGGTGAGAGAGTACTCACAGATGACACAGACACGAATGGGTGAAGCTGTGTTTCAATAAAACTTTATTCGTGCTGGGCTCCTAAGCTGTGGCTCCGCTTAGCCCTGTCCACCCTCTGGGCCCCTGTGAGAAGCCAATGCCATACTGGAGGGGTATTTTCAAGAAGGCAGTAGAGGGGCTGGTACTGTGGCACAGTGGGTTAAGCTGCCACCTGCAGCGCTGGCATCTTATATGGGTGCTGGTTCAAGTACCAGCTGCTCCACTTCTGACCCAGCTCCCTGCTAATGGCCATGGAAAAAAACAGAAGGTAGTTCAAGTCCCAGGGCCCCTGCCATCCACATGGGAGACTCAGAGGAACTCCTGGCTCCTGCGTTCCACCTGGCCTAGCCCTGGGCATTGAGGCCACTTGGGGAGTGAACCAGTGGATTAAAAATCTGTCTCTCCTTCTCTCAGCGTAATTCTGCCTTCAAATAAATAAATGTTTTGGGGCAGGCTTTGTGGCGTTGGGAGGTTGGGCCTCCACTTGCATCCCATATGGGCTCTAGTTTGAGTTCTAGCTGCTCCACTTCCAATCCAGCTCTCTGCTAGGACCTGTGAAAAGCAGCAGAAGATGGCCCAAGTGCTTGGGCCCCTGCACTCGCATGGGAGACCTGGAAGAAGCGCCTCACTCGTGGCCTGGCCCAGCCCTGGCTATTGTGGCCATTTGGGAAGTGAACCAAGGGATGGAAGACCTCTCTCTCCCTCTCTCTGTTTCTTCCTCTGTAACTCAACCTTTTAAATAAATAAAATCTTTAAAATAAATACATTTTTAATTTCAAAGAAAAAAGAGAAAACAGCAAAATCCTCTGTGATGAGCCTGAACCATTCCTTTCTCCTTGGGGAAATTTTGGGGTTCTCTATTGTTTCTATCGTGGAGAAAGAATGATTTGAGCACCTGCTATCTACCAAGTGCTGTGTCCAGTGCTGAGGACTATAATAAACAAGGCAGACACAGGTGTGGTCTTCATGGAACTTGCAGAATTGTGGGGAGGACAGCCTTTGAATAAGCAACTCCAAATGCGGGCAGAGTGCAACAGCATGTCAAAGGGAGCAGACAACTGCTATAGCTGGATGGAGATGCCCCCTCTCCCCGACCCCAGTGTGTGTCCTGGAAGTCCCGTCCTCAAGGTGGCGCTGTCGAGGTGGTGGAAGTTTTAAGAGGCGGGGTCTAGCACAAGGTCATTAGGTCACAGGAGTTCCCTCCTGGGTTAACACAGTCTCTTGGGCGTGCCCTTTCTCTCCCTGGGTGCACAGGGCAGGTCGCCCACAGCGCTGGCCCCGCTGCTTCGTGTCTACGCCCTTGAGGACTTCCCGAGGGCGGCCCTCTCAAGCCTCATCTCCCTCTCAGAGACCGCAGGACCCTGCCCTGACTTCCGGCGTCGGCCATCTTGGCTGATCTGCCCGCTGCGGCTTCCGGTTCAGCGTCTCGTGTTTTCTCTCTCAGTTCTCTATTTCGAGCCCGCCACCGCCCTTAAGATTTGCCTATTTTCTCCTGAACCAACTGTTTGTAACGTAAGTTTGTTCTTCGAGGTAGCGGCTTGGCTTTCTGATGTGAGTCCTGAGTGTGTCTTTTTTCACGCTGGCTTTGCCTTGACCTGCCCGGCGGGTCAGGAGCGCCAGCATCCCCAGCATCCTCATCGTCCTCACCGGCACGGATTGAGTGGAGTGGTTTGGCCCGGACATGGGGCTGAGCTGGACAAGCCGGGAGCCACTGCGTGGCAATGGCCCCGTGCTCTCTGGACCACGGCATGGTCTGAGGCTTGGTGGGGGTGCCTTGCCCACTTGTTCACACCTTGGGGGGGCTGCATCTGTCCCTGCTTATGTGACACACCCGGTGGCACTCGAGTAATCCTGAGTCCTGAGCTCGCTTCTAGGGGAAGCGCTGTTGCTGACACGGTGGCATCTTGTGGATAAGCCCAGACAACAGGTGCTTCCTGAGCCCCCTGCCTCGGGCCAGCCCCTGAGCTCAGGGGAAGAACAGGATTCCTGAAGTTGGATCCCTCCTGCCTCTGGCTTTCACCGGAAATGAGTGTTGGGCAAGGCACTTTAGCCCGAGCCTCAACTTCCGTAAGGAAGTTGGGACCAATAATTATCTCTTACATCAAGGTGAGATAGGAATAAAGCATTCACATACGGCCCTTAGCATCACGCCTGAGCCACAGTAAGTGCTGAATATGCGTTGCTGCCCATGCCATCCCAACAATACAATCCTTATTTTAGGAGGTAGTTGATAATACCGCCTTTGCCTACTGTCTCGCAGGGCCATGGCTGATTCTGGGGAAAGTTCTGGAAACCTTTCCTTCTCTCTCCTTTTCTCTTTCTCGCCACCTTCTTCTTTCCCTCTCTTACTCCCTCCTAATCCCCCAGCACTTTTCAGTTGCTCACGAAATCTCTCTGGAAGGGCTCCTGACAGCACAGATGCGTGGCCCCCACCCCAGGAGATGCTGCCATAGGAGGGCTGGCCAGGGAGCTCTGGGACCTGTCCTGGCACCACACAACCTTGGGGAATTCTGTGGTGGGTGACACGAGGGTAGGATGTGAGCCTATCCAAGGCCCATGAGCACACTGGAAGCCTTCGAGGGTCCGGGGGCAGGCCAGACACAGGATGAAGGAAGTCTCCAGACCTCAGACAGATCAGCTCTAAATCGCTGCGAGGTGGATACGCCCATTAGCCTCATGCCCGGAAGGAGAAAGAGAGGAGGCTGGGGACATGAACTTGCCTGAGGTCGTACAGTGACAGAGAAGGAAGGGGTCAAGGTTGGAGCTCTTCGCTCTCCCGCTACTGTCCTTACACTTAATCCTCTCCCAGCCTTGGGCCGCATTGCCCAGAAGGGGAGGCCCGGGGCCATCACCGCCTCTCAGAGCCTGCAGAGGGCTGCCAGGATTCCACAGGCCTCGCTCCTGAGCAGAGAATGCATCCTGTACCACTCAGTGCATTTCTGTGAAGATGGAAGGGAGAGGAGGAGGAAGGGAGGGAGATTGGGCTTAGAATAAGCTTCAGGAAAGAGCAGCAAGGGTGTGCGCCGCCCAGCAGTGTCTTCCGCCCCTGACTCCCCAGCAGGCTCTGGTTTGGGCTCAGATGGGGAAGACGGGAGGGGCAGGGCAGGGAGCAGAGCAGAGCAGTGATAACTCCTGGGTGCTGTAGCCAAGTTCCCTGGGGCTCTAGAGATGAAGTCCCCGGAGAGCTGCTCCTTTTCGCTCTCATGACAACCACGCCTACCCATTCCTGCCCCCTAGGAATCAGGGCGGGGGTGGGTAGGAACAGCAAACAGAGGCACTGACGCGGATGGTGGCTGCAGCCAGTGGTACTCTCTTCCATTGTTCAGACAGTACCCAGTGGTCACCATGGCAACCGGCTGGGGGAGCCCTTGCTGAAGAAGAAGTGGGTGGGGCTGGGAGATGGCCACGTTGCACCGCCTTGCCTGATGGGTTTCACCCCTTACGATAGGCTTCCTTGGGTCAGATGCCAAGTCTAACAGATGGACAAGACTTGAGGGAGTTCCCTAGTTCTTCTGAGTCATGGACAACCTCTCTGTCCACAGTAAACATTTGATGATGATGACAGTGACGATGATGGTGGTGGTGATGGTGATGAAGATGGTGATGATGTTGATGAAGATGGCAATGACGATGGCGGTGGTAGAGATGACACTGTTATTACCAGCAGAATAAGCCATATGACTTTGCAACAAGAACACCAGACACACCTGGCCACAAATCTGTAAGTGAAACAAGGCGTCTCCTCTTTGAGTCCCAGCTTCCTCTCCTGTGCCTGACTGTGGTCATATCTACATGACTGAACATGGGGCATAGGGTTTGGGGGAAGGTAGCTTATTTGAAAGGTGAATCCACCTGTTTTGTGTCCCTACAATGAGATACCAGAGGCAGGCTAATTTCTAAGGAGGCTATGCCACAGCGTGGGTCACGTGCCTTCGAATTCTTCACAAATGCTTGGAATTTCAGAGTTCACGCATGAATGCCAAGGTCTTAAAGGAAGTAAAATAACCACCCCCGCCCCCCTCTCCTGCCCCCAGCCCCAGTTTGAAATCCTGGATAACCCCAGCATGAGCCAATGGCAAGAGAACATTTGCTGGGGGCAGGCCTGGAGCACTGGCCAAGGTTTAGCCACGAAGGGTTCATCATTGTTGGAAACAGGCCAGGCAGTCCTTGAGAGAGAAGAAATCTGTGGCATTGCCGGCCATTAGCAAGGCCTTACAAGCCCTGAAAACAAAAGAGAGTTGAGTAGGACACCCAGCCTCACATGGGTAAAGTCAGCTCCGTCCGCTGGGCACAGCTGCAAGCTCTGGTGTAGGGCCGGGCGCTTATCTTTGGGAAAAGCTTTTTTTGAGATCCCATGCCCAGCAGACACAGCAAGGAAACCAAAAATGGCAAAGGACTTTGGTCTTCTGGCCCACCTCTTCCTTCCAACTTCCGCCTTTGCTCAGGTAGCTGGGGCCTTTCTGTAAGCAATTCTCCGATTAGGACACACTTTAGAATCCTACAGGTTCCCCGGTCCTGCCCTCAGGTCTAGAAAAAGGACACAATACCCAGGAACCTGCAGTTCAATAACAACAACAACAGTAATAATAGTAACAATGAGAACCCAGGAGAGGTTGTCATCCCACAAGTCTTCCTGCTTGGCCACAGCTGCGTGGGCTCACGCACACCCCTGTAGGGGACACACACACACACACATACACACACACACCGGCTTTGGTCTGTGAGTCCTGGGGAGGCAGGACTGACCTCTGCAGAAGAAGCCTCTAGGGATTGGCACTGTAGCATAGTGGGTTAAGCCGCCGACTGCATCCCATCTGGGCACTGGTTTGAGTCCTGGCTGCTCCCCTTCAATCCAGCTCCCAGCTAATGGCCTGGGAAAGCAGCAGAAGATGGCCTGAGTCCTTGGGCTTCTGAACCACCATGGGAGACCCAGAGGAAGCTCCTGGCTCCTGGCTTCTGCCTGGCCCAGCCTCGGCTGTCCTGGCCATTTGGGGAGTGAACCAACAGACAGAAGATTCTCTGTCTCTCTCTGTCTCTCTCTCTCCCTCGGCCAGTATGAAGGGAGCTGGAGCATGTCTCAGGTGTAAGGGCAATGATCCTGTTTCCTGAATCTGCTTTGCCATCACCTTCTGTCGTGGCCGTGTGAATGCATGACCGGCTCCCTGGGTCTGCTCCTTGGCCTCCGTTCCAGGAAGATGGCAGGTCTGTGACTCTGCACACCCTGCCCGGTGGTTCACCCACGATCACACGGCTCTTGTTTAAATGCCCAGGCCAAGACCTTGGGGAGGAGCGAACCATCAGTGGTGCTTTCTTTCCTTTTTAAAGATATACGGGGCCGGCCCTGTGGCGTAGCTGGTAAAGCCGTCACCTGCAGTGCTGGCATCCCACATGGGCACCGGTTCCAGTCCCAGATGCTCCACTTCCGATCCAGCTCTCTGCTGGGAAAGCAGAGAAGATGGTACAAGTCCCTGGGCCCCTGCACCCCTGTGGGAGACCCAGAAGAAGCTCCTGGCTCCTGGCTTCGGATTGATGCGGTTCTGGCTGATGCACCCATCTTGGGAGTGAACCATAGGATGGAAAACCTCTCTCTCTCTCTCTCTCTCTCTCTCTCTCTCTCTCTCTCTCTCTCTGCCTCTCTGTGACTCTGCCTTTCAAGAACAAAAAATAAAATTTTAAAGGTGTACTTTTTTTTGAAAGAAAGAATCCCAAAGAGAGAGGTAGAGACAGAGAGAGATCTTTATCAGCTGGTTGGCTTCCCAAATGGCTTCAATGGCCAGGGCTGGGCCAATCTGAAGCCAAGAGACTGGAACTCCATCCAGGTCCCACACGTGGGTGCACTTGCTTTCCCAGGAGCATTAGCAGCGAGCTGGATCAGAAGTGGAGCAGCTGGGACTTGAACCGGTGCCAATATGAGGTGCCAGCACCACAGGCAGAGGCTTAACTTGTCCCCGACAAGTCTCGGCACAAACTCCTCCCAGGGTCATCATTAACTCAGATGAGTCAGTGCCCTCGGGGACCTAGGAGTGAAGGTTCATCTCCCAGGACAGGGTGTGTGGCACTCGGCCGGGGCTGTATTCCTGTGAGCTGACAAATGGGATTTCAGCCAGCCTGAGAGCACCTCCTGCAGTTCCGTGGGCTGCAGGTGCACCGTGCTACTGGGGGCAGCAGCATCAGAGGAACTCGTTAGAAATGCAAATCCCTGGGTGCTACCCCAGACCTGCTGACGCAGGGGCCCAGCCGGCTGTCAGTTTGAGAAATGCTCCTTGAGCCTGCCTAGGAATCTTCTCAGACGTAATACTGAATGCAAGACGCCCACGCTCTTCTGCAGGGAATCAGGTCCTTGAGGGCACCTGCGGCCCCAGGGGAATCTGAACCAGCAGTCAGCACCTGAATGCAAAATGGTCCCAGGCCCCCTGCATGAAACCCTGCAGAAGCCGGGTTCTGCCCCCTGTACTCCAGCAGGCCACAAACCCCGTGTGCCCGCAGGAGCCCACAGCTCCTCGAAGAAGCTTCTGGCAGATGAAGCCCCGACCACGCCCTGGCCTTCCGTAGAAAATGGGGAGAAGCAGTCCCGGGGCTGGAAGGGCAGCGCCAGGGCTCTGCAGCCGCCGCTTCAGGGAGCTGTGCTTGCGTGCCGAGCTCTTCTGAGAGCGTCCGTTTGCTCCCGGGCCTTGCTGGGCCGCACACGCTTATTTGTAAGGACGCTCGGGGGAGCCCAGCGCTTCCGGACAAGAGCTAGTCTCCCTTCGCCGCCCTCCACGCTGCAATTTGCAAGCGCCCGGGGCCCGCCTGTCTCCCTCCAATCAGCAAGCACTTTCACACGGGCAGGGCCGCTTGGCAGAGCCCACCTTTAACCAGGAGCGCGGGCACACGCACACGCACACGCACACGCACACACATACGCCCGTCCAGTCTCCTCTTGAGCCGGGAAAGGAAACAGACTGGGCAGCCAGTGGAGGAGCACAGTCTCTCCGTTGTTGGCCCAAACTTTCAGGGCTTTTGGCCCCTGGTGCGCCATTGCTGTTACCTTTGAGGGGCTTTCCTGTTCATCTGTTTCCCCGGCAGCCATGCTAATAAAGAGCTGTCTGCACAACAATGGATGCTCAGTGCTGGCAGCCAATTTGTCTGGGGCACCATTTCTTAGGAATCCTCCAAGCCCATTAACCCCTGAACCTGGGAGATGGTATCTTCCCCCCCTGGGATGAATTACCTTCTTTATTTCCAGACGTGTGTTTGCTCATTTAGCACCCCATTCAGAAAGACAGCCCGGCTTGGGCACTGTTTTCTAAAAAGGGAAGGAGGACGTGCCGTGCCCGCGGGGTGGCCAGTCACCCCCGGAGCGAGGGCTGGCACGCGCGCTGTGCCCGCTGCCTCTCACTGCTGCTTTGTGGACTGCTCCTTAATCCTTGCTGCCACCCTGCGTCCTGGATGGCATCCTGTATCCCACTTTGTTCCAGGAAGAACAGAGCGGGTCAAAGATTTGACCCAAAGTACTTGGCAAAGTGGTGAAGCCGGGATTTGAACCCAGCCCCTGCCGATGATAAGCAGCTCCTCCCATCAGCCCCGTGATGTGTCCTCACTCGGGCCATGGACAGGGAGGGCGTCCAGGCTACAGGAAGGAAGATGTCACAGCCTCCTGCCTGGGAAAGACGCCTGTCACCCAAAGTGAGTGCTCGTTTTAATCCGTAGTGTGTCTTCCACTCTACCAGCTACGTTATCAGGTGGGGAGAGAGAGAGAAAAGGATGAGGCCAGGTCTGCCTGCCAGGCTGGGGAGGTTCTTGCTGTCAGGAAAGAAGAGACAGAGTATAAATCCAAAGCCAGACCAAGTTTATTCAGAAGAATAAAGCCTGGGAGGTGCTCACGCCTAGCAGAGAGAGAGAGAGAGAGAGCCCCTTCCCTTACAGCCTAGCGGTTTATATGGTACAAAGTGGCAGGAAGGGGCTGGGGGGAGGGGTCTGAGCTGAAGCTGGGCGGCTGAGATAAAGGGAGAGCTTGGGCTCCTTCTAAAGGTCCTGCGAGATCACAGTGTGAGCTGGGAGGGGTCTGAGCTGAGGCTGAGGCCGGACTCTGGGGCCAAGCTGCTGAGCTGGGGCCAGGGGGGCTCATGCGGATGGCTGGACCCCTCAGAGAGTGGTGTGTCCAGCAGTCCAGGCAAGGGTGGAGCTGGTCAAAGTGGTCAAAGTGGGGGGCTAGCTTGCTGTATGTAGGTGAGAGGTCAATATGGGGCTAAGGCTTTTTGGCATTGCTCCATCACTTGCTAGAAAAATCTTAGAAGGTAGAAGTGACTCATCGCCCCAGCGTAGGTCTAGCTGGGTTAGTCTGCACATAACAGGGTGAGCATGCTGTGTTTCAGACCTGGTTGATCACCACCACCACCAGGGTTCATTCTTTAGCCCACGTTTCTACACTTTAGCATTTTGGAGTCCCCAGGGACACTTAAACTAATCGTGATGCCTAGGTTGCGATCCAAAAGACCAATTATTTCAGAGCCTCTGAGGGTGACATCCAAGCATCAATGTTTTTCAAAGCCCCCCCACCCCAGGTTTCTCCAACGCACATTATTGTTGGGAGGGAAGGATCCAACACAGAGCAAACCCTAACAATTCCACATTGGGAATTCCTGTCTTTCTGTGCTCCCATCCTCAGGTCACCACATGGCCCAACATAGCTGCTGTAGCTCCAGCTCTTTGAATGATGGAAAGGACCAGAAGCTGTCTGTCTATATCTATCTATCTATCTATCTATCCATCTATCTATCTATCTATCCACCCATCCATCCATCCCTCTATCATCCATATCTCTATCATATCTCTATCATCTATCATCTCCCTCATCATCTCTATTATTATTCTATCATTTCATATCTATCTATCATCTGTTTGTCACTTTGAAATGTCTCCCAACTCCTCAGCCCTCATCTTTCCGGCCTGGACAGCAGGGAGAGCTGCCTAACTGGCGGTCAGTTACCCGGCACACTCGGTCCTCACGTGGCATCCAGGGTGACTGTCAGAGGACACACACATCTCATTGTGACGGACAACGATGGCTTTGTGCACCAGGAACAGCGACTCCCTTCTACGAGGCATTGCTCAGCCCCACCCGCAGCAAATGGGTGTTTTTTTTTTTGTGTTTATTGTTTTAGCCAGAGTTACACAGAAAAAGGGACGGGGAGAGAAAGAGAGAGAGAGAGAGAGATCTTCCGTCTGCTGGTCCCCTTCCCAAATGGCTGTGACGGCCAAACTGAGCCAGGCTGAAGCCAGGAGCCAGGAGCATCTCTGGGACTCCCCCGTGAATGGCAAGAGCCCAAGCACTTGGGTCATCTTCTGCTTCTTTCCCAGGCCATTAGCAGGGAGCTGGCTCAGAAGCAGAGCAGCTGGGACTTGAACCAGTGCTCTAATATGGGATGCTGGCATGGCAGGTGGGGGCTTTAACTCACTGCACTACAACGCCGGCCCCAGCACGTGGTTTTTGATGGAGTGCTAATCCTGATCATCTGGTCCTGGCCGCACTGGGCAGGCAGATCTGCGGTTGGCCAGTCAGAGAACTCCCAGCCTCCCAGACCAGGGCTGGGTTAACACGTGTGATGCTGAACAAGAGAACTGGCCTCTCCCCAAAAGCCCAGCCCTTCAGTTGACGGAGCTGATAGCACAGAGAAACAGCAGTTAGCCAGACACACGCAGGAAGGAAGCGTGCTCCAGGCCAAGGGTGCAGCTGCTGCAAAGGCCTGGCTTGGGCGCCAAGCATGGGGTCCCGCAGGACAGCTGGGATGCGGAGGAAGAGAGCTACTGGCTGCAGCAGCAAAACCGTAGCGGACACTTAGACCCTGTGTCACGGGCCGGACTCTGGTCTCACCGCTTTGTAGGAATGCATGTGCAGCAGGCATCCTTAGCATCCTGACCGGCCCTAGGAGGGAAGAAGCTTCGCTAAGATCCCATAGCCATGTGTGACATGGGATGGGGACAGAGCAGTGACAAACCAGATGGGTCACCAGCTTCCAGCACACACCCCATGACACTGCGCAGAGTGGCTGGCTTGGGAAAAAAGATCTGAAGGCAGACATCTGCCCCCCTCCCCTTCAAGGCCATGGCTGGTGTCAGCATTAACCAATGCTCGCCTGAGATGGTTCTGGGCGAGGTGGACCCCATCAGCAGGTGCCGGTCTCCCCAGGAGATCCTGTAAGCGCTGTCCTGAGTTCAGAAGCAGTACGGCACTGGGAGGGGGGACCCCTGCCCACCCCCAAGGAAGCACTCACGCGGGGCTTCCCAGGGACCAGCAAGGGGCATCCCCCCCCCCCCCACACACACAGCAGCCTCCTGCATTGGCTTCCCCGTCCCTCCTGCTGCTTTTCCACACGACTGGATTTATTTTCAAAACAATTTATAGTTACATTAAATATTAAAGTCGCTTTGCAGGTGGTGTTTACTGTGTGAGAAGCTAGC